CACCCCACCCCACCCACCCAGCCACCCCACCCCCCACCAAAATCCGTTTTGACAGCCCGCGCAGAAAGTTAGGTGGTAAGGGGTTTGCAGCAACCAACCGGTTCTCACGACGTGTTTATGGACAGTGGTGGGGGTGGGGTGGGTGTGGGCCGGGTGGGGTGGGGTGGGGTGGGGTGCATGTTCAGGAGTGCGGGTTCCTGGAAAAGGGGCCATATAATGCTATTTTATTGTTGCGGTTGGCACCACAAATGAAGTTCTAAACCCAGCAGTGGGGCAGACATCGTCTCTCGGCAGCATGCGTTTATTGCTCATTTAATGCTCCCATCCTGCTCACATAATACATTTTCGGTGCCATTTTAACGATCCTTTATTGCTCATTTCTTGAGGAGAGTCGGGGTTGGTCCCCGGGGTAAGTGTGAGCTCCGTATGATTCTATTTGTGGATACACGTGGTGTCAGCGTATTGGTTTGCCTTTGACTTGCATCCACTTGTTCGGTCGTGACCGTTACTGTTGCATATGGGCAGGCGTGACTTTGGATTTTGTATTATTGGCAGGTGGTTCGCCAAGGGCCAATTCTGCAAACAGACGTGCACGGTGCGATCTGGGGATCTGAAGCTGGGGAGGTGCGCCTGGGAAGGGAGTGAGCAGAGCTTTCCACCATGCTTTCATGGATGCAATGTAGTCAGGTCTTTCCAGGTCAGATTCTTCACGCTGCTGCTGAGCCCGTAACCGAAGATGAGCACACGACAGTGCTTCTTCAAAATGGAGGTGCTGTTGATATCAGACTTGCCCTTAGCCATCGGCATGAAGATTCTGCAGGCACCGACAGCATTGCATGCATCAGCAGATTTGTTCATGCCGAGGTTTGGTACAAATCGCAGAACAACTCGCAGAGGATGTCTCCGAGATGCATTGTAGCATTTGCATGCGCGCACAAACAGAGAGATGCACAATGTCATAGTGTTTCATGGTGATACTACGAGTAGTAAGATGCGGAGGTGAGTTCGAGTAGTCGACGTCCGGTGTGCTGATCTACGTGTATATTTTTGTCAATGTGTTTGAGGTGTGTCTAGTGTGTACGCTGCCTCTCTGCTGCAAGGCACCCGTCGAAAGGGAGCAGGTCTTTGAGGAGCCTCCTGAGCCCTCTCCAGTGGAGCATGAGGGCGAGCAGGACCCTCATTGGGAGTCGGAGGGGGCGAACGAGCCCCCGAGTCCGCAGGAGATGGCTGAAGCAGCATATCGAAGCAGGCATGGTCTTGCGCACCCCGAGCAGCCAGCGGCAGACTGGGAAGCCGCTCCAGAAGGTCCAGGCCAAGAACACGGAGGAGATGGGCCGATCGGACACGGAGAACCGCCAGGAGGCTTCCATGGTGACGGCGAAGCTGAAGCTGATGGCATGGCAAAGCACCCTGCCTCACAAGAGCTGGATGCACTGGCCCAGCAGGAAATGCAGGAGCACGGTTTCAACGAGCCGAATTATCCCAATTTCCCTGCAGAAGGTGTCGAGCATCCGGATGGGCAGGTCCCAGAACCTGATGCGCAGAATTCGGTAAACGAAGCTGGCGACCATGCAGAGCCTTACCCGGAGCCCCCACAAGAGGGAGCTCAGGGTCAGTTTGCCGGCGATCACATCGCCGACCCAGCATCTGTGGACGGTGGTCAGCAACCATAGCAGCCATAGCAGCTGTAGCACTCCAATGCACCCCTTCCAATGCACCCCAGATGGCGGCATCTGGGGTTGAGCCGACTGACTCCATATGAGCTCAGGGATTTCCCAGCTCTGGGGGGGCCGACCTGACCGCGCCATGGTAGAAAGGTTGATTTGCGTAGATGAGTGCGCTGCGATGGGCGGAGTTAGGTCACGTTGTAGGCCTGAGTGCAGCTGCGAGGTCAACCTCCTCGGACAAGCGAATGGCCGAGAATTTGAAGCTCTTTGGATGGGTGCCAGTGGCAGATTGGACTGGATTCTTGCGAAGCAGCACTCCATTGCGTCGGGCATGGGAGCAGAATGCACAAGAAATGTCGCGGCGCATCTGAGAGAGAGAGAGAGCGGGGGCGCACCCGCGCGCGGTGTAGGGGGGCAACCCCCTGCACCACAACCCTGACGAAAGGAAGAGAGCGCGCGCGCTTTGAATTCGAGCCGCCAAATTTGCCGGCGTTCGCCTTTCCGAGACACGTCCCCATCATATATTTCGGGAGGCGCTTGGAGCGCGGGGGCGGAGGTCGCTCCTCCGGCGTCAACCCTTGGGAAGGAAAAGAGCACAGCGGCCGGCTCTTCGTTCGGGATTTAACAATCAAATGCCTTGTTCAGCTTCGTTTTGCTGAGGGGTCAAGTGCTTAGAGGAGTTTCGACACGAGCACCGGTGAGACCAAGAGAAGTTCGAGTCGGCTGAAGTCCTGTTTTTTCCTTCTGGTCGGATGCCGCGTCCCTTGGCGTCAGAATGCCCTTGCTGCCCACACTGCCCCACAATTTGACCCTGAGAAAGAGAGACTGCCCCGGTCACAAGTACAAGGGAATCTGCTGCGCTCGAATCCCGAAGCCCATCCTTCGTGAGCTGAGCCAACTGTGGGAGTTGGATCAGGGCCGATACTCGAGTACTTGTAGGGAGTTTGGTAGGGAAGGCCGGCTCAGCGGAGAAGGGGTGTGGACCAAGGGCCCGGGATAGAAGAAGGGAAGAGCAGGCCGATTGAGGCTTGCAACATCTGCAAAAAACTTTACGAGACCAGCGGGGAAGCTAGTCTCTCTGGCAATCCTGACACCTTTTGTGCCTCCGACCCCGCCAAAAAACGGGACCGGATTGAGCGAACCGTAGCAAGGGAATTCCACTCTGAAACCAAAGAGACCACGCGCTCGTCAAGCTGTGATCACATGGTCCTGGGCCGATGAGCCCGATCCGTATCGCAAGATCTATTGCAATTTCTCGCCTAGAATGTAACGTAAAGTATACATGCATGGCCAGCCGGCCACGTTTTGTTCGCAGGATCTTTGCTTTTGGCCGTGCTCAGTCTCTTTGATGCCAGGAGCTAACCGACACCGACATGCGAGACCTCGAGGCTCCCCGTCCCCATAGCCTGGCCTTGCGGTTTTGTTTATGTCACATCCGGAAAGAAGGTGGGGCCTGCGGATCGGATGCGGATCTTTCTGCCAGATCCGGATGAGGCACCCTAGGTCGCTTCCTCTTATGCGCAGAGCTGTGGCTACCGTTGGGAAAAGAGGAACGCGCGGCTCTTTGTAGACAAGTTCGAGCATTCGTGCAGCTCCACAATGCCCCCTAAAGTACCTGCTTCTTGTTATCTTGAAGCATCAGCTGCAACCCCTGCATGATCTCTGATGATGCAATGTTACTATTTGAGTTGGCATGTTCTGAAATTTTGCCTGCTTTGGCTGCAGCGCTTAGAACTTCAGCGATCTGCTCTTGGCGATAGAGGAAAGCGCATACATCCATGGCCGCATCCTTAGCCAAACCACCTTCTGGGCCTTAGTCGGACACTGCATGACACTGCACAGCTGCTGTCTGCATGCGGTTGCATCACCTGTCACCCCAATGAGGCGACGGCACTGATGCGATTTTGGTTCGGCCTTGGCCTTTGCCTGCTGAGCGTTTGGGGAACGGAGTTTGTTGATGACGAGTGCAGCGGTGATGACGGAGCCTGCAGTCTTGAGCTCCATCAGCTGCGTGCGCAGAAGGAGGCAAAGGAAGTGCTTCAGCCAAGTCAGTCGGTGAACAAGACCGCCGGCAAGTGCACAACTGCAGATGTGGCCCTCATGGAGAAGTTTGGGGGCGGTAATGCTGATGGCACCTTTCCCAAGATCTTGTCGCAATGCGGCAAGGGTTCATACAGCTTTTGGAGTGGCTTCAAGCAGGGTCAGATGCAAAACTGCATCATGGAGAAGATGCAACTTAGCTCCGGCTGCGCCAGCTGCTATGCCATGTCTGGCCAGTACAGCTACGACAACTGCAAGATGCCGTGCCTCTTCGGTGCCTGGTGCTCTGGTAGCTGCCTGAGCTGCTCCCAAGGGAACAAGGCAACCGTCGACCAATGCGCCGGCGTGACGTCTCCAGATGTGAAGCAGTGCTAAAGCCACGCCTCAGACTGACGACATCTGACGGCTGACTTTTGAGGTTTTAGACATGCCAACCGAGCATGTTGCAAGTGCTTGTATACACAAAAAAGCAGATGATGTTGATGTGCTGTGATGGTTGCTGCAGGCCTCCAACGCCACGGGACTGCATTGACTTTTTGGCATGTGAGAGAAACTGCAATGCAGCCTGGCACGAGCCCTTCCGCAGTGTACCGAATCTCAAAAAGCATAATCGCTACTTAGATACGCAGTGGTTGTTTCGTGAGATGGTTCTAGACATGATAGCTACTGATAGCCAATGATTAATTGAAAAAGCATGGCTTTCCTAGCGGCGGCACGCCACCTGCTGCGCTCCCCGAGGCCCTACTTCTTCCGAAGGAGCCCTTTTTGCTCCCCTTTTGATTTAAGAAAACCAAGAAAAACCTCTCCAAGGGGGCCGCTTCAAGTCCGGTGTGTGCAGGCTGTCCAGATATTGCCGTTTTGGGGCATGCGTTGCGAAAAGCGCTTTGGACGCTTCTGCTTCTGGACTGGTGCGAAGCTCCCTCGAGGACACGACTGTGTGAGAGTTGGGGCCATAGCATTACATGACAGATTCTTCCGCCTTCAGAGGCTGGGTCCAGTAATAAAGAGCGACTGTTTACGAGTGGAGATGTCACGTGGTCAGCCGAAATCAACTGGAAGGCGGGCTTGACGCGGGGTCTTCGGGCCCCCAAGCCCGCCGAAAGAAGGAAAAGACAGTGTCGAAATAGGCGAAGAGACGCGCAAGTATAACGTCGCATGTAAGAGAAGATGCAAGCAAAGCCGCTTCCAGGCACCTAGAGCTGACAGGGAAGTTCGGCGCGCTTTGCTTGCCTTGGGTGCTTGTATCGGTGCCCGGCTGCAATGGTGCTAGCAGAACTTGCATTTGAAAGCCCAGCTAGTTGAGGAGTGTCTGCTTCTATCCTTGCGACGGTTCACGATGCAGCAACCGTGCTGTACTTCTGATGTAGTAGAGAGCAGCAGGGCATCACTCGCAATATGGGGAGTATTGTGTCCCTTTCTTGCTTGGTTTGCTGATCTGTGCAAGCGACTTTGATGAACCTCAGATTGATCTCCGCATCGCAGAGCACAGGAACTCATTTCCAGGCATGGTGGCTTCAGGGCTCAGGAAGATGAATCTTAACAGTGGTCTTTGAAACGCATTGTGGCTCTGCTCGTGTCCCTGAAAGTTCAAGGTGCAACTCCTGTGGTATCCTGGTCAGTCTGCGAGAGCGGTGAGGTCGGCAGCAGTGCCATGTCTGATGCAAGTTGTGTCCCGCGCCCACACTGACAGGGAGCAAAGCAAGCAGACGCGGCCACATCTAACGACGACGAGGAGGACGAGGCCGTGCCAACATATCGCTGATTGGCAATCGGACCCGCGTCGCGATACGGTGTGCCAATCGCAGTCAAGCCTGCAAACAGGATTTCGACTTCAACTTTGCGAAGCCACCAGTGGTCCCTGCCCCTCTGGAACTTCGATTCTCAGTTCAGGTGAAGCCAGGAGACCCTGGCCAACGGCCGCTGTCGGACATTCTTGTGCAGTCGGTGTTCTCTCTTCCCGTGGAGAGGGGATGGCCTCGTGACAAGCTTTCTCCTGCAGAGGTAGCTGAGTCCATGTCAGGCGTATTGGCTGACAGACTACCACGATTTGCGGCCGACTACTGGGATCTTCGATTAACAGGTGCACCTATGCAGCTCCGAGGAGGAATAGACCACTGGCCTGCCGGCGATCAAAAGCCAGCTGAGTTGCGCTCCGACTATTTGCCGGAGCCCTTCCCTCCACTAGTCTCACTACGGAGACTTGCAGGTTCTGAGACAGGATTTACCTTGAACAGCGCGACGACGCTGACCGTTTCCTGCACGTCACTTGGGGTCCGAAAGGTGGATGCTGACGAGCGCCTTGACCTGGAGCTGACGACACGCTTGCAAGACTTTCCCGTCGCCGGTTGGGTATGGGGTTTAGTGGGATGTGGAGGCCGATGGTGGTTCGAGAAGTACCGTCTTCCCGTTCTTCGCCGGCTGCTGGAGGCATATCATCAGATGGCGCACGAGCAGATGATGCTCTTCTACGTCGCAGCGCTTCGAGATTAAGCTCTTTCCGAGCCCAAAACGCCGTGGCCTCATCGGCTCGGCAGCGGACGGAGCTGGCGGAGCTGGGCAAGGCGTTCTCACACTGCCGGACTTCTGACGGCGCTGTGAGTGAGGGCATGGCATGGACTGCATGGAGCATCAACAATGTCATGGATGCGCATATGCGACGGTGAGGCTCCAAGAATCACGCTGTGGCTGCCCTTGATCCCAATGCTTTCTACAGGACACGAGTAGACCTTGTATACAACCGCTTGTTTTGGAAGAACTGTTGAATACTTGCGCCGTTTGCAAAATTGAAAGGCTTGCTGGCTGTGGTACTCCGGTCCGTTGGCACATGGTGAAGGTTCACCTAGTGGCCCTAATTAATCATGTTGCGGCTCGGCTCAAGGAACCTGCTTAGCCTCTAGGGCACTGTAGGGTGTTGAGTGCCTCGCCTGGCGAAGCCAGGATCGGGCCATGGGCTGCGGCTCGTCGGTCGCCCTTGATCCAGACCCAGTTCCTCAGCACATCTTCGCAGAACCCCTTCAAACGATTCACAGTCACACAATTGCCAAAGTGAGCCTTCCAGCCTGAATTCTTAAACTGTCGAAGTGGCGGAAGCGGTTTTTTAGTTCAGGCTGCGAGAAGGGAGTCGGAGTTTTTGCCAGGCATGTCTAAGAGCCAGATCTGCATCTCCTGAGCCTTCACCGAGGTTCTTCCAGTGCACAAGGAGCCAGAGCCGGCTTCCATCCAGAATCTGGATGACATTGCCAGGGCCACGGTCAACTTCACAGGTACCGCAGACAAGTAGAAGGACTTCCTTCATGTCGTCGACAGCCTTGCATGCTACACCCATAAACGCCGCCCCAGGCAGAAGACGTGAGCCTAAGGACCGAAGACGGACTCCAGTATGAAGCTGGGACCCTCACAGTCCGCACAGGCCCCACTCCTACATTGCAGTTCCAACAATTCGCGCTCAATGCTGATTCCCAGCCATCGCAAACAGGGAACAACGCTTTCAGAAACCAGCAAGACCAAGAGCGCACACTTCCCCCTGTCCAGGATCCCCCTGCATGTGCTCAGAATCTGCTTCTGGGGAAAGGTAGATTCCGAGTGCCTCTGATTTGAACTTAACACTTGGTGAGAGGAACGCTGCAACATACTGGCCTGTAGTCTCCTGCATCGTGAGCGGGCTGAAATCCTTAAATGGAGAAGACGAGCCCCTACAAACGACATCAAGCCCACCGGACGTGCCTCTGCCCGGAGACACAGTAAAGCGAGATCACCTGTGATGTTCCGGACTGGGCACGGGCGAGAAAGACATGACATCCGAAAGCCCCAACACTGGAATCGCAATAAAGACCCAAAGCCGCACCAAAGTCGAGACTCCAAGAAGGCATGTACCTGAAGATGCCCCAAACCCTGAAAACTGCACGTCTCAATCTCCTCGACGCTCCAGCATAATATCTCCGATTGATGTCTGTTGCTGAGGTTAGGATGCCAAGAGCAGGGCACAGTGAAATGTGCATACTAAAAAACATACCTTGAGCGTAATTTGTTGTGTCAGATCATGGCCGGTGTTCTGTCAGAAAAGTTCTCGAGTTTCATCGTTCGCTGAGGACCCAGGCGAAAACATTCCAAAGGAGGATTTGCCTGAGTGCCGATTGAGAATTTTCCATGTAAATGATGTTTACACTTTGGAGAACTTTCCACTCCTTCGGAGCTGCATCGATGCGATGAGCGAGGGCCTGCCCAAATCCAATGTGCTCGTGACCTTGGGCGGTGACTTTCTCGGCCCCTCGCTTCTGTCTTCGGTAGACCATGGTCGAGGAGCTGTAGCGGTCATGAACGCGATTCCTGTGCATGCAGTTTGTTTTGGAAACCACGAGTGCGACGTCCCCTTTCTCAGCATGTGCCAACGAGTGCAAGAGTTTCAGGGCGTTTGGCTGAATTCCAATATCCCAACATTCTCAGAAGAAAAAGCCTTAAGCTCTCTGGCGGACAACCATGTGATGCAGCTGGCTGAGGGTAGGTCCGTCGCACTGATCGGACTTCTTTGTGGCGGGGGCAAGGATGCCAGTCTGTACAGACAGGGTGCTTTCAACGGACATGCTGCGAAGATAGTGCCGGTGCTAAAGGCTGTGGATGGTGCAGTGGCACGTGTGCGCACAGCACACCCAAATATTGACTGTATCATCCCCATGACGCATCAGGAGATGCCCGATGACATAGAAATGACAAAGCGCGGACACAAGTTTCCGGTGATTTTGGGTGGACACGATCACCACGTCTTCAACGAGGTGCATAACAACACTCATATCGTCAAGGCAGGAGCTGACATCTTCAATGTGGCCGTGGTCGACATCGTGTGGGACAAAGGACCTGCTGGATCTGAACCGACGACAGTAAGCGTCCAAATGGTCCCTTTGGCAACTCCACCGAAGTACAACGGACCTCCTCTGGAGTTGGTCTACAAGCCTGATCCTGCAGTTTTGGAGGAGGTACAGAAGAGGCAGAGGCCCGCAGAAGAGCTGAAGGAGGCAACGTTGGCAGTGTTTGAAGCAGACGGCTCTCTCACATCCATGGGTGTCCGCCTCGGAGAGCGCAGCATGGCCACCTTAATCTGCACAGCCTTGCGAGATGTTGCCGGCGGAGATGGAGCCGTAATCAACGCTGGCAGCATTCGTGGAAACAAAGCGTACACCGACGGAAAAGTACGGTTTGCCGACTTGAATGCGGAATGTCCGTATCCTTCATCGCAAATCGTGGTGAAGATTCCTGGTGCAATCCTTTTCGAAGCTATAGCAGAAAGCCGTGCACCATGGCGTGGTGCAGCATCGGCAACGCACCAACGTGCAGACTCCGCGGGCCCAGGCGCCTCAAGAGATGCTCTCCACTGTGATGACGGAATGAAGGTTGACCCGAATACTTCCATGGTCTTTGAGGTTGCCGGACAGCCTTTCGACCCGGATCGCATGTATCGAATTGTGATTGATTCTTTCATAATGCGGACAAATGTTGTTTTCAAGCGGTACGCAGAAGCTCATCCCGAAGAGATTCCCTCCGATGAGTCCGGGCAGCCAGCTCTGCCGCTGTTGGTGCAATATTTCTGCAACCGAATCTGGGCAAGTCTTTGTGATGTGAACAAGGACGGTACAGTGGAGATGCATGAGATTGATGAGTTTTTTGACGAGGCTGACACAGATGGGAATGGCGAGATTGACCTAGATGAGCTTATGGTAGCAATGTCTTTCAGGCTGGGTGATTTGGATGTGAGCAGAATACTTGCTCAACAGTGCATAGGCTTTGCAGATGCCGACAAGAACGGCACCATCAGCAAGCAGGAGCTTCGTACGTTCATAGAATCAGAAATTATCAAGAGATGACTCGTTTTCGGCTGAAGAAGCAGCACTGGATGCGCAGAACATCTTTTTTGCTAACGGTTGCTTCCTCTCTCCCAAGGTGAGAGGGAGGGTCCTGCCCGTGTTGCAACTGCAGCCTGGCAAGTGACAACTATGACAGCCCGTGCCGGTCGCAAAAAGAGAGAAGCGAATGGTTGTCAGGTGGTGATGGGGCTAGTGGAGCACGAGAAACACTCAAGAGCTGTAATATCACAACATGTACAGATGGGACGGAAATGGATGAGGGATGAACTAGGAGCTGTTTATGCTACCTGAAATGCAGTTTTGGAAGCGGGCTTCGAAATGTTCGTGGCTCTGGCTTCTTCCCGGAGGTCTCGGATGTTGTGACGACGATGCGTGGTGGGATCGATATCATACTCTTCTTCAGAAATATATATTCAATTATCTGAAAAGTAGTTTTTCGGCGTCTGCATATAAGACCTGCCATGTTCAAGTCGAGATGCCGAGCAGTTGTTATATTTTGAAGGTGGCTTTTCGGGGTATTGGCTAGGACTAAGATTGCTGAATTATGACGGCTTGGCAATGGTTTGCGCGGGCATCTAGCAACTCTTGTATCTATTCCCTTTTGGTCTCTTGTTGCACTAGACTCAAGACTTATCGGGGGGTATAATCATTAGTCTACCCAAAAGTATTAATTAGTCTTAAAAGATCTATACTCTATTATGAGAAGCTGTTTAAATTATCTGGAAAATAATTTTGAAAAAAAGTAAGATAGTTGGATGGGGGCGGCTCGGATATTGGATTTGCAAATTTTATTTATAATGAATGAAATATGGCCGGCTAGAAATCTGAAATTTCGTTAGAGAATCGTGATCGTATAGTGATGTGCGCTAAGGGGGCTCATCTCGTGGTGTCCGTGCTTGAAATATTAATTTTAGCTTTTTGAAATATAATTTTAAAAGATTATAAAGCAATTAGATAGGAAGGTCTCGGATATGTATCACTAGTTTCGATTTTTTTTAAATTATATTTGAAATTGCTTAAGTTTCTACCAAAAAATACGATTCAAGGAATTTAATTGATATCTCAGGCACGGATATTGCAAGATGAATATAAATATAGTCACAAGCCTTATATTGTCTTTGCAGATAGGATTATTTATGAAATATGTCGTGTGAAGAAAATATTTTTTATCTGAGTCGATATATCTATAAATTTAAAGAGGGATCTGAAATTTAAATATTGGGATATTTAAAGACTGATTTGGAATGTAAATATTATGAGATTTCTTCAAAATATTAAAATATCGGATTTCATACCGGGAAAGAAATGATCCCAATACTAAAATTTTTAAATTTTAGTGCCGCGATATAGCCACATAATAGATTTTCAAGATAAAATATGGCAAAAGACGAAGATAAAGAGATTAAGGACGTGCACAAAAATCCTAGGAATCATTATAAGATCATTTCATAAGAGAATATTGCTTCGATATCTATATTATCATATAGATATGATGCTCATGAACTTATCAGATTTCAAATTATTTGAATAATAAGATAATCGATAGATATATGAATATGAGAGAATAATATAAATTAATCTTTTATTAATATTATTCTAATCTGAAAGCATATTCTCTAATATTTTGAATTATATATTATATATGCTAAATATCGGAAAATAAGAAAATCTCAGAACTATATCTATATAATATCTAGATTATTTGATATAGATATGAAAATCATGGAATTTTTCAATTATTAGATATATTTAGAAATTTAGAATTACTAAGATTTAAATTTTAAATTGAAATTTAGATTTATCCGAAATATATTATTATATATTCCTATAGATCAATAGAAAATATCATTTTCAAGATCTATTTTCTCATATTTATAAAAAATCGATTTTCAAATGATTTTTAAAATAATATCGCGCGTCGAAATATCGAATGAACATAGAATATGATATGAGAAGAAGGGATTCTTTATTCATCTATTTTATTTTAGCCTTTTGCCTTGGAGAAGGAGAGAGCGGGGGATCACGAATCTAAAATATAAATGAAAAATGATATTTTGATTCAAAATCTTATTTTTGATTTTATTTGATCTCGTCTTCTGTGTCCATGCTAGGAGATTGGAATCTTTGGAATTTGGATCTAATCTTGAAGAATAATTTATCTAGATCCGAAATTTCAATATCTTTTTAATTTTCAAGTTTCTGATTTTGAAATAAATCCTAGAGAAATAGAAAAAATATATTCAGATTTCTTTCTCTTTCATATATAGTCTACCAAATCTGGTAAAATTTGATTTTCTATAGATGATATAATTATATTTTTTCTTTTCTATATATCTAATATAAATATATGATCCCGGTTCTCGGTTC